GTTGTCGTCGACCACGTAGATGTTCTTCTTCCATTCAGGGAGATATTCATCAAGCCACGAAACATTTTCATGCTTCATACTTGCGACCACCATCTCGACGTCGTTGTCGCCCAGGGCCATATGAGAGTAGTCATTTCTATGTTTTCGCGCCGGCGTACTCGAGGGTAAAAAAGTGTCGCGGAAGAAGTAGATAAATACGACGAAGAAGACAAATGCGCCGACAGTGTTGGCGCGATTCGTACGCTGTCGAGGACTCCAATGACCAGCCATGATGAACAATGGCGGTCGAGATGGGCGAGCGGAAAAGGTAGAATTCGAAAAGGCAATGAGTGTTTTGAACGGCGATGGGGGATAAATGAGAGTCGACAGGGTCGGAGTTTGAAGCAAGGGTTGATGATACTCGAGGTTTGGTGGCCAGGCACTTTGTTCTTAGGGGGTCTTGAGGATTATCCCTTGAACTGGGATGGGGAGACGGGGAGCTCGCCCTTGAATGGAATGGCTTTGGGGCTGTCAAGAACCAGACCCTTCAAAGCCGCAGTGGCTTGGCCGCATCTGGTGGATCATCTTCATTGGATCCCCTGCGTTAGTGTGTATAGCGAGCCACTGGCTTCTTCAACATTGGAGATCAGGGACTATTTCTCGTCATCTGCATCATTGACGTGGTTTGGAATGAAGTGACTGTTGACCATGATACACATTCAGTGATTACACTCGTCACGGCCGGAGAAGAAAGTTAACCTTTCAGGTGTGACGGGTAGCAAACCGATCAAGCTTATCACCACAGGCGCTCAGAGATTCGGGCCACCACGAAGCTTCCAAGCCACCATACCAAGCTCAATACCTCTCAACATGATAAGCTTCGGCAATGGCTGCTTTGAGCCAGAAGAAAGATCGTGCATGCCTGATACTTCAGATTAATAAATCATGGAGCGCCCCTAGGGTAAGCACGAATGCGTGTCCTTACAGCTGCTGGAAACCAATTTATTACGCCAGAGTCCCCGTGTTCTCTGCTTGAGCTGCCACTCAGCCCTACGATCGTGATCACCAACTTCTGGTTAGTCTCCCAAGCGCATCGAGCTCGGCGATCTCGCAACCTCAAACAGGACCTCAGGTCATACACTCAGATTTTCTCTGCTAGGCTACACGTCAAGAGGACTAAAAGACCACCCTACATACTCGCAACAGAGTCAAACCACCAACAAGGCCGCCCGCATATCTCAGTAGGCGAGGCAGAAAGCAGTGACACAATGAATTATGAAGCACAAGCCCTTCTGATGGTACGGGCCCCTATTGGGCTTTATGGACACAAAGCCTTACAAAATGAGTATCTCAGACTGGGGTTTGAAGTGCAAACTCCTTCTTCCAGATCTCCATCACCTCTTCGCCTATGATTATAGGTTAAGCTGGCAACGTGATGGCCCCTAGAGCTGAAGGAACCTCCTCAAACCGGCTGCATATACGGCTTTGTCTTATTTAGACGAATTCTGCTCCTGCAACCCAGCTGCCAGCTTCGGGTGTTCATGCTGATGAACCCAAAACCTCAGGGCGCCGCTCGATTGACACTTACCTTACAGACACTGATTCCGCCCCCATTTGAGCCCACGAAATCCACATACAATGATCACCCGAAGGTAACAACAGTCATGGCCTTCGGATACCATATCCTATGGCTTCACCCGCCTGCATGTCGTCCTGAAGGAACAGTAGAGATTATGGCAGTCGAATGAAAGAGCTGTGCCGATGAAAATAGCTAGAGATAGGCGAATGAGTATAACAATTGAGTGCCTCGAGCATACCCGAAGCAATGGAACGAATGTCCATGAAATACGGAGTACGGGTGCCGGCAGCATTAACAATAGACAAGTCCTCGCCTGGGCCTGGGTACGAGTGACCCAGTCTGATCCTTCAAGCTCAAAGCATCTTTACGCAGCCGAAGTGACCAAATTGAGGCTTAGAGGACAGTGCCTGGTTCATCTCCGCGTTTCTCAGGCCTCGGCTACATGTGCAGCAATTTATACAATATTCCGTAAATGAGTAAAATATCATCGTATCCCGGGGCTCTGCCGATTCGCAGCCTACCAAAAGTCCAATCTCCTGCAACCTCATCCTGTCTCAGCTAGTGCTTATTACGAAGCTGCACTGTCAACCAATCCGAGATCCATGTATTTCTCCGCACCATCGCCAGACTAATTTGCCCTAATGTGGAAGGGAAGGGTTTGAGGCTGATGATGAAACGACAACGCCAGTCTCATGTTTTTAGTTAGGGAACTCAAACGACGGCGAATGGTAACGGATCTGGGGAAGAAACTTTGTAGCACAGAAGGGAACTTCAGGTGAGTTTTGGAAACATTCGATTTTCCTCATGGGATTCAATTGCAGGCGACAGGGCACGGTTACGGGGTTCAAGAAAGTCCGAGTTCGCGATGGTCTCCTATTTCGCGAGATCAATATCGCCAAGGTATTCAGGATTCGTGTATCGAATGAAAGCCCTGGCTATGACCCATGCTAGAATGCAGTAAGACCAAGCATGAAAATAAATTTTATGTCCTGTGTCAAACTAAATAATGATCCTAATTTGCCCATTTTCAACATGATCCTTCGCGGAAAATACGGAGCACGCATTATTCTTGATATGAATCACGGCAGGCTTCAACTATTAGTGACACTTCAGCTCGCTGCTGACCGCATGTTGATGAGGCATGAACCCTACTGAACCACTGCCCATGCCATGATCCTTGCCTGACAACACGGGGCCTAAAACATGGGTCCTCTCTGTTCCCTTTTTCGACGTCGCCTCACATCGGATTGACTTGATGAAGTGAACAGCCATGCATCCGCATATCAATGGCTGCAGAAAGGCGACCTGCAGTGGCAATGAACTCGAAAGTTATAACCCAAAAGGAACAATCACGCGGAAGAGGCTTTTCTTGTGCACTGCAGCCAAGGATTAGGTGCAGATGCCTGTGGACATGAATAGGCGAACAATCTTACTTGCGTCGACGCGAATTACTAAAAAGCCAAGTCACAGAAGAGAGACTTGGCTTCTGGGGAGACGAGAATAAGCTACAATATTGATCAACAGACGGACTCGCCAGAACAAGATCAGAGAAAAAGCTTGGTATTCTAGTGCAACGCGTATCCCGCAGTGGAGACTGGAGATTTTTCCAAGAAATTGCTCCGCAAGGATTTGAGGGCTGTGCTGGACTGTGAAGAACACTGTGTGTGAAGGTTGTCGAAATAGTGAAGCGAGGGTTGATCAAACAAAGAAAGGATTGCCATATGATCGGAATTATGAGTGATTATGTGCTGGCAATAAAGAAGTCTCTTCTCTTCGATGAAAGGGAGACAAAGGATATGCGGCAGCAGTTGAAGATTCAAGACCAATGAGGTGACGAATCTCGTATAAATTTAGATGATTCAGCGGAGCCAGCAGAAGTTTAGTTACGAGCCTAATTCTACCGCCGTCTCCCTAGTCCGAGAAAGGAGAACAACAGAAGACCGTGAATGTCTTTTGTCGAATGTTGCTCATTGGATCCAGATGTTCTTTGACGTCCGATGGGGGCTGTGCAGCCTATTTTTTCTTCTCGCTCACAGATGCCCCATTTGTTTGGGCAAGGGAGTAAGGCTTTGTTACTCATAGTGGAAGCTTGACCACGTCACGGACCTCCTTTTGTAATAACGACCAATCGAGGGCGAGGCGAGAGTCATTACACTGACATATTGGTATTCCTTGAATGTCCTGACTTGGCTTTTAGGCGCCCCCCTGGCTCAACTAAACGCGGGAATACCTACACAGAGACGTCCACAGACAGCGCGGTTCATTGGACGGCTTTTGTTGGACATACGGAAGTGCGAATAAGGTGTCAGGGCTCCAATTAGGTTTCGGCCCCCTGAAACTCGCATGCCATCCCGTTCATCATGATCGATCAAGTGTCTCGCCATCCCCTAGAACTTTCGATCGTCTCTTGTGTTGCCCGTTACATAATGCATCGTGACTTGTGCAGTGTCACACACCTGCATCTCTGCTGTCTCAGAACCAGACATGGCGTTTGAGTTTCTCCAAACAGAGAGCAAGGAGGTCGCTGTTTCTGATGATCACAACACGCAAGTGAGGCTTTATGACGAATCGTATTCACTCGTGGAAAATGCTTTGCTTAAACTTGTTTACTCTGTCTTTCGCCACCACCCACAAGACGAAGAAGAAAAAACCAACAGAGGAGAAGGTAGCGTGCATTACAGGGGGCGAGCTGCGTTTCAAAATTCTAGTCGTGCGTTGGTATTGATGGCCTCGACCAGGTAGCGCTGACTGCTCCCTCCTCCTTGGGATGGAGACCGTTATAACTGGAGTCCGGGTACGACAACAGCACAGTATGAAAAATTCTCTCCGCTAGAAACGACTTACACATGGAGGGCTCTTTTTAGTGCTTTCGCCCAGGCGGGCCCTGCCGCTGAGACCACAAAATTTGGAAGCGGCAGCGCCGGTGTGGTGGCCACGGGCCAATAGGGGAACGAAACGCGAGGACGTTACAGGGGGCTTCTCTCTGGGACCCTGGCTTGCAAGCGTTCCTGAGTGGCGGCGGCATTGAGACCACCTCCACTTAGCCTTAGCCATTAGCTCTTAGGTTGTTTGCTGTCGTCCTTGTGCTCCTGGGAATGGGATGCTCTCCCGATGGAGATGGATGAGCTTCAATCCCCATATCAGTCCAGGAGCGTCCCGTCAATCCTGTCCACTTTCTTTCTTTCCTCTTTCGTGATTCATTTATACCCAGGCCCCTCCCCCGTGCGTGCATCTCCTTCGTCTGGTCTCTTGCTATTCTCACTCTCGTTTGTGATAAACTGATTCCTACTGCTCTTGGCTTTTCCTTTGAGCATCCTCTCTCTATTGCCTCTCTCATCTTTCTGATCGAACTGAATTTCCTTTTACCCTTGCACGCCTGCTGGCAGGATCCCATCTCTCTCATCTCCTGAATACATCGACATCAAACGCGATAATCGGCATCATGGGCGATAGCTATTCTGCTACTTCTGGCCATACAGCCACCACGGCCGTCAACCGACCAACAATTGACACCAACACTGAGACCCAGGAGAAGCCGCAGTCCCCTAACAATGATCCTACACGTCTTCAGAGTCTCGACACTTCCGATCAGAAGCGCCTGCACAGTCTCGAAATCCCCCTCGACAATGTTCGCTCTCCCCCTTCTCCCGCCGTAGGCGTCAACCCTGCTCTTTTCCGCAAGCAGACCTCCCTCGATATTGATGACTACTTCACCGGTCCTCGTGATATTCAGAAGCACTCAAAATGGCCTCTCGTCATGCAGATGCACGGCTCCATCATGCCCAAGCTGATCATCCCTCTGGTCGCTATTGGCGCCTGGTCGACTGCCATTACTCTCATCCACAAGCAGGTCCACAACATTTCTGTTGACTCGGTTCTGCTCACCATTCTGGGTTTCGTCGTCGGTCTTAGTCTGTCGTTCCGATCCTCGACTGCGTACGAGCGTTACGCCGAGGGTCGCCGATACTGGGGTATGCTTACCATGGCTTCTCAGACACTGGGCCGTATCTTCTGGATTCACGCCAAGGATGTCGCAGATCAAGATCCCCGCGAGACTATCCTCAAGAAGATTGGCGCGATGAACCTCATTGTTGCTTTCTCAGTTTCTCTCAAGCATGCCCTTCGATTCGAGCCCTACAGCGCCTACCCCGATCTGGAGCATCTCATCGGCCACCTCAACACCTTTGCCAAGGATGCCACTGTCGCTGATCCTGATGGCCCTGTTATCAAGAAGAAGAACATGTTCAAGTCCGTTGGAGAGTATCTTGGCGTGTCGTTTGCTCAGAGCAACCCCCGTAAGGCTCTTAAGAAGACCGACAAGCCTCTTGGCAACCTCCCCCTCGAGATTCTTAACCACCTCGCCATCACCATTGATCGAATGGTCGCTCAGGAGCAACTCCCTGTCCCAATGCAGCAGACTCTTGCTTACAACCACCTCACCATGATGAACGACTGCATGACGGGCTGTGACCGTGTTCTCAACACTCCTCTGCCCATTGCTTACACCATTGCTATCAGCCAGATCACCTTCGTCTATGTATTTGTCCTCCCCTTCCAGCTTGTCGATAAGCTTCAGTATATCACGATTCCGGCTTCTGTTGTCGCCGCTTATATCATTTTCGGACTTCTATTCATCGGCCAAGAAATCGAGAACCCCTTTGGACACGACGTCAACGATCTCCCTCTCGAGATCTACTGCGATCAGATTGCGGCTGATATGGATATCATCGCGTCTCATGATAAGCGCGAGCCGGATGCATTCCTCCTCAGCCACAACAGCATGCCTCTCTACCCTGTCAGCACTGCTTCTTCCAACGCCTGGATGAAGCGAAGTGACGAGAAGCTTCGCCAGACCATCAGGGACAAGCCAAACACCATGTTTGAGTGGCGTAAGGAGATTGCCCGCAAGAAGTTGAACGGTGGCAAGTTTGGCACCAACGACATGAAGATGAACCCTGGCGACCATAACGTCTAGATCTTTCCTTGTTATACCCCTCTAATGCATGTTGTATGGACTTCTCGAGGGAGCAGTCTCACAACTACGGCGCATCAAAATAAGCTATGTCTAGTTTCGGTTCTTTATTAATTTGGTTAGTTTGCTCTGAAGGACCTCAGAGGGGTTACTTCATGTAAAGTGTGAAAAGGTTCGGCAAATATCACTGGGTGTTTTAAATGGTCAGCAATAGCGTTTTAGTCTGTTCAATCTTCAATACAAATTGATCCAAGAATTGGTTCCTTTCTAAGAGCATTTGTTTAGCTATGACTCAAGATGAAAGTCGCATGAAGTTGAATCCAATCATTCATTATCTTATCAATGGCCTGACATGGATGGAGGGGTAAAATCGGAGCGGAATTTCAGGGCAACCGTGCCCCGCGATTTCAAGCTCTGCGTCCGTCCCCGGCGAATGATGACTCGCAGGAAAGAAGTGAAAGAGTCAAAGCCTTTTTTTTGTTAACCCTTGAGCCCACTTGACTCACACTCACTCGCTCGGAATCGCCATTGATGCTCGCGCGGCGCCTCACTTCCTCCACCTTTTTCTCTTCTTCTACTTCTTGTTATCTTGTAACATCCTCTTTGCCATTGCGACAAGCTTTTGTCCAGACTCGTACCCTCTCTCTACTCTCGACTCGTCAGTCCCCGCGACAACAGACATTGCATCGCGACTACAAGTACCCCTCCTCCTTCAAACATATACGCACCATGGCGACATACGCCAACGCTCTCGCCGACCAGCTCCAGCAGCTTGGTCTCGACAACATCGAGACTTCTTTCCCTGGATGTCACCCTGATACCAACCCAGTCGATATCTACCGTTCACACATCACAAGCCTTTTGGCGCCTATTACTGGTGTCGATCCTAAGATTATCTACCCCGCCATCCAGTGGACTCAGACTCTCGATAAGGGAGATGCTATTCTTGCTGTTCCTGCCCTCCGAGTGAAGGGCAAGAAGCCTCAAGAGCTTGCTGAGGAATGGGTTGCTCAGGTGAGTCGCATAAAATAGCAATTGCTGAATTATAGCTGACATGATCAAGTTCCCCGAGTCTCCCCTTATTGAGAAGCCTACCGCTGCTGGTCCCTTTATCTCCTTCTTCTTCAAGCCCAACAAGCTTATCAGCATGCTCCTCCCTACGATTCGAAAGCGCGCCGACAACTACGGCAAGAACCCTTACAACGGTCTCCGAGACCCTAGCGACCCCAACTCTGGCAGGAAGCGAATGATTGTCGAGTTCTCCTCGCCCAACATTGCCAAGCCTTTCCACGCTGGCCATCTCCGAAGTACTATCATTGGTGGTTTCCTCGCTTCTCTGTACGAGAGTGCTGGATGGGAGGTCACCCGAATGAACTACCTCGGTGACTGGGGTAAGCAGTATGGTCTGTTGGCTTTGGCCTGGGAGAAGTGGGGTGATGAGGAAGCCCTCAAGGCCGATCCTATTAACCACCTCTTCAACCTCTACGTCCGAATTAACCAGGATATGTCCGCCGAGAAGGAGGAGATTGCGGCTAAGAAGGCTGCTGGCGAGGACATCACTGCGCTTGAGGAGAAGTCCCTGGACGAGCAAGCCCGAAAGTACTTCCGACGAATGACAGACGGTGACAAGGAGGCCGTCGATCTCTGGCGACGTTTCCGAGATCTCTCCATTACTCGATACAAGAAGACCTATGCCCGACTCAACATTGAGTACGACGAATACTCAGGAGAGTCTCAGGTCCCCGAGGAGGATATGGAAAAAGCCGCCAAGGTTCTCTCTGAGAAGGGCCTGACCGAGGACGCTAACGGTGCTATCCTCATTGACTTCTCCAAGCACGTCCCTGGCAAGCCTGGTAAGAGTCTCGAGAAGGTCATTCTCCGAAAGAAGGATGGCACTGCCCTATACCTCACCCGAGATATCAGCGAGCTTCTCAACCGACACGAGAAGTACAACTTTGACCACATGATCTACGTCGTTGCTTCTCAACAGGATCTCCACTTGAAGCAACTCTTCAAGACTATTGAGCTTATGGGCCACGAGGATATTGCTAAGAAGTGTCAGCACATCAACTTCGGTATGGTTCTTGGCATGAGCACCCGAAAGGGTACTGTCAAGTTCCTTGACGATATTCTCCGTGATGTCGCCGACAAGATGCATGAGGTGATGAAGAAGAACGAGACCAAGTACTCCCAGGTCGAGAACCCTGAGGCTGTTGCCGATATCCTTGGTATCAGCAGTGTTATGGTCCAAGATATGTCCGGAAAGCGGTATGTATCCTAACTCATTTAAAAGCGTGTTACTAACGACACTAGAATCAACAACTACAAGTTCGACATGGACGTCATGACCTCTTTCGAGGGTGATACTGGCCCTTACCTCCAGTATGCTCATGCTCGTCTGTGCTCTATCCGCCGACGAGTTGGCCTCTCCGACGATGAGCTGGCCACTGCCAACTACGATCTTCTGACCGAGAAGCACGCTACCGACCTCGTCCGACTTCTTAGCCAGTGGCCCGACGTTGTCCAGAACACTCTCAAGACCCTTGAGCCCACCACCATCTTGACATACTTGTTCAAGATGACGCACGTTCTCAGCTCCAGTTACGATCACCTCCGAATTGTTGGCAGCGAGGCTGAGCTTCAGAAGGCTCGTATGGCTCTTTACGATGCTGCCCGAATTGTCCTCCACAATGGCATGAGTCTGCTTGGTCTTACACCTGTTGAACGGTATGTTCTCCGAAGATGCCGACTTATGAGTAATTGCTAATGATGTACAGAATGTAAGCTACGAGTTTGAATGAGAATTTGTAAAAGAAATGGGACATGGATTTCAAGAGGGGCATGGATTGATGGGCGTCGAGTCTTATCTCGACTAATGGCGCATTAGACGAGACTATGAAAAGTTTTAATATACCCATTCAACTTACCTTCGTGGTAGTTCCAAAACTCATTGTTCAAATGGCCCAATTCGACTTGAAGCGAGGGTTCTCTGGCATCCGCCACTGGTCACCCTGAAGTGAAAGACCAAAGACGTCAACTCTGCGATCCAAAATATCAGATGCATATCGAGGAGCCACGAACTCTTCTGTATTGATGAGTCGGTTGGTTACCAATAGTGTTACTTGAAAATGATAGATTTCTGGGCCTGAGTCACATAATCAGTCACTTCAACGAGCCTGTGTGATACATAACTAGCGAAATCGGCCAATGCATGTGACGCAAATACAGAACTCAAATCACCATCGAACGGCAGCAATTGAGAGTCATGTGCTTCAATGTTGAATAGTATGCTTACGTTTTGCCCCGTAGTTGAGATTTTCGGCCGTGATGCCCATGCCTTGCTCCTTTGTTCCTCTACCTTATTATACAGCAGCCTATCGATTTAGGGCTCAATCGACCAGTTTAGTACTGAGCCGCAGCAGAATCTGAATCTTGCGCGATTGCAAATCGTTATGTCTTCCAATTCGTGACGTTCCTGAACTCTAAAGAGCAATCTCCATAGTCGTACAATCATCCCATCTTGGCTCTCCACCAGTTTTCGCCGTCGTATTCATAAAGATATGGTTATTCCATAAACCTGTCGCCCTTAAGCAGAAGGGACCTTGGTCCTAATCTGAACGCCGTGCCACCCCTTGACAAGATCGCCAAGAGCAGCATTCACCATGCGCTGCTGCTTGAGAATTGTCTGGCCCTTGAAAGCAGGGGATGTGATATCGATGGCGTACATGCTCCCACAGCCACCAGAGACATCTTGGACAAGTAGTTCGGTGGGCTGGAGCTTATCGGAGAGTATTTCGGCGATAGCAGATTCAGCGGGGCTCATGGAAGGCAGATCGGGCTCTTCCTCGACGGCAGCGGAGAATCGAGCCGCAGAGGTCGAGAGAAGTCTTCGGGGCGTTGATGTAGGTATTTGTGTTGTAATGCGGGTGATGGCCGTGGGAGCGCGGAAGAGGGTGCGCAGGGGAAGACGAGCAGAGCGCATTGCTGCGCGGCGACAGGTATTGCAGATCATTGCGATTGGGTGCAATTGAATCAATTGGCTTTTGCTGGAAGAGAGGTGAAGGAAGTTAGTGACGATGGTGGAGTTTGAGTCTGGGCCGAAGTTGAGATTACCTAATTGGGATACATGGGGAGGAAAAAATGTGGAGGGTTTGTAATCGAGCGATCACGGTTTGCGGGCGTGGGTCAAAATGGAGTGAATGCTGTTGTTTTATTGCTTCAACTGATCTACACTCATTAGTACAGTTCAGTGGTACTAATTTATCCCTCTGAGAGGCCCGTCACTGAAGGATTGAGTGCAGAAGAGTCATTACCGAGTTCGTATTAGATAGACACAGGCCTAAGCCTGGTGGGACCGGAAAACTATTGCTGCCTCTTCAGACACTCTTTTTCCAACCAATTCGACTCATTCTCCAGCGCATTTTATCCAATACCCCAGTCCATCATCTCACCTGAACCCGTCTCATCTCAGCCGGAGAATTCACCAAACCCATCATGCCACGCAAGGTACGATATTTCCCCTTACTCCCGTATATCCGTCAAAATGAATACTAAGCCCAACTAGACTCGAACCCCCGAGTCTCTCGCTCTCAATCGCGAGAACCAGCGTCGCTCTCGCGCAAGACAGCGTGAATTACTCGACGATCTGCAGAATCGCGTGCGTGAGTTTGAACGTCGCGATGGCCAGGCTACGCTAGAGATGCAGCGTGTTGCTAGGGCTGTCGCTGGGGAGAATGCTGCGCTGAGAGGTTTGCTTGCTGCGAAGGGCGTGTCGGCTGAGGAGGTTGAGGCTCATGTTGAGGCTGTGAGGCATGAGGAGAAGATGGTTGCTAGAGCGGGCATGGCGACTGTTACGCCCGTTTCGACGCCGTCTTCCAATCCTTCACCTGTTGTCATTGCCTCGAGACCTGTGCCGTGCTCACAGCCTCAAGGATGTGGTCCGGTGAGGAAGAATAGCAACCCTCCGTTTGCGATTCAGCCCAAGATGTACTCGCCGCCAACAC